TTCCAATTTAGCGTCAGAGTTGTTTTCACCAAAGAATATCTTGTTGTCGTTGATTTCTCTTTGCAAATGAATTTTATACGGTAAACCTATGGAAACCTTTCTGTGTTCCAAAAGACCAAATAAAGGATACAACTTCCAATTTACGTAATTACCCCATCTGTTGTTCTCGACAACGTTGTTATATTGAAGCGCTCGTTTTTCAAATCCGTGATTTACTCCGCGAGTCACTCTTTTCAGTGTGTTTCTAGCAACAACTCTAACTCTAGCTAAATCGGCATCATTTGCAAGATTTCTTACCGGTTCTTTTAAAACTTCTCCATCACCGACATCGGGAATCCATCCCGAAACTGAATCGTAGTTTTTGGGATACAGAACCGTTTTCAACATTGTGTCAAACTCGCCGGGGTGTTTTATGGTCGTTATCGGATTTGAACCAGCTTCCAAAACCATTTCGCTGAATAAAGACGGAAAGAAGTTGTTTTCTAAAGTCGTGTTGGTTTGTGGAATTCGATTCTGAGCGCCGTCTTTGATTTTGAAATCGCATCGGAAATGGGCATCGGAAAGCAGCAACCAATTGGACAACGAATTAATTTCAAATGTAACTCTTCCTGTGTCGTTTATTTGGGTCTTTGTCCCTACCGATGGTGAGATGATTACGTAATCCTCTTTCTTCTTGTTGAACGAATATTGAATCGGATCATACAATTGAAAGATTGGATCCAATCTGTAATTTTTGCTTGCCATTTTTATCCAATGATTTTAAACCCTTTTCCTTGTTTTTCTAGGGCTTGTCATTCTAGTCTCTTGTTTCTTAGTTCTCTTATTAGCTGTAGTTCTTTAAGTTCGTCAGATTTTTTCACTGCATCGCTTATATTTACTCCTGCTTTTGCCACAGATCTAAGAGCTTGCGCTTCTGAGGAAATGAGGGATTCGTTGTTTGAGACAAAATTGGCCACTTTCGGGATGAGAGATGTTAGCGCAGAGAAGAAACCGTCTCTTTCGAATTTTTTTTTTTCGTGTTTTAAAATTAAAGACATTTTTAATGCGGTTATTTTATACTGTATTATTATTAGTGATTCTTGTCTGTGGTTTGGGTAATTTATAATACAGTTTGGGGGAGTTTGTTATAATACATTTTTAACAGTTTGGGGAGTCTTTTATGATACATTTTAACAGTTTGGGGAGTCTGTTATAATACAATTTAACAGTTGTGTCTTTTCGGATATGACGCATTGAAAAAGCTGCGCATGCGCAAAAGTGAAATACGTCATATCCGAAAAGACATATACTACTAAGAAATTCAAACATTCGGACATATTTCCTAGCAACCCCATGCTCATGTGCATTTGCGGATCATCGGGTTGTGGAAAGACTTACCTCACTTTCAACATGTTGACAACACCGAACCTTTTAGATTTCGAGTCTCTGTATATTTACACGACTACTCCCGAACAATCCTATTATCAGTTTCTCAAAGCTTTGGAATACATTTCGAAAGGAGAAAGTTCAAGACATTTTTCACTACTACGAAAGCAACGAAGACTTGCAAGAGAACGCAGAAATAAAAGACATTTTAGACGGCTTTATCAAAGAAAAGAATCCTTCTCTGAAACCGACCGACGTCAAAGTGTTTCTGACTAAAAACGTCAACGATTTAGCCCTGTCTAAAATCGACAACCACAAAAAAGTAAAAACGTTCAACAAGAATTCTTCACGAAAGGAAGACATCACAACTGTCACTGCATATAACATCCCAATCTTTCTACGCAATGGACGCCATGTTTATCAGAAAGAACGCAAATTGTTTTTTATTATTCGAATTAAACGACAAAGATTTATCTCAAATCATTCAGTAGATAAATCACGGAATGGACAGAGACACGTTTAAAAAGGTTTGTAAAGCTCAATGGAGAAACCCGGATGATCATGGATATGTATTTGTTAATACTAGAAAATCTGCGGGAGAAAGAGTTATGATCGACATATGTTAATTTTATTTTTTTAAAAATGACGGATTGGAATAATATTTTAAAAAGAAATAGAGAATATATCAAAGCTAATAATAAAATAAAGACCCAAAGTTGAAAATAACAGATACCAACAACTCGGATTAACGGAAAATCTACAGACTCTATTTCAACTAATATTAAAAAGTCAAGAAGATATTAAAAAGAGACTCTAGTCTCCTATAGAACCTTCACCCCATAAAGATCCACTGATTGAATATGGTGGGATTAAGACATTAGATGATATAAAACGTCTTTTTTCAAAGCCTAACCCAGATTTACCAAAGAGCATTTCACCAATCGTTGATGATGAGGGTTTGTTGTTTAATGGTTTTAGAATAAGATTTAGTGGAAATTCACCACAATTCAAAATCGACACAAAAGACTTTATATTTACATTAACGAGAGGGTTAATAGATTTAATGAATGCCGATTACAAGGATTTAGTAGCATACTCAAAATTTCTATATGCGATCAGAAAGTCAGGACCTGAAACAAGAAGATTGAAAGAAGTTAATTTATATATAACAAAAGTTATTGAGGAAGAGGATGTAGATGATTATGCAGAAGATTATCAAATCATACAAGAAATAGATGAATTCGATGATATGGTGGCATTTGGACAAGGTATAACGTTTTTATCCGACAACAACGAGGAACTAGTTAATAGATTACGAGTAATATTAGCGGCCATGAAGGAAGGTCATCGATCGGACAGACAATACAAAGAAGTCAATGGCATATTACAACGACTTTTGGAGAAAAAAATCATCACTAAAAAAGACTATATAAACGTCATTAAAAATGTCCAATAAAAAGCAATTGTTCGTTATCACCTCGAATAAATCAGACATCAAATTGTCTCTAGACTACGAGTATGAACTCGATCGCAATAAACAGCACGAACTGGGATTAAAGTATTTCTCCGTTTACAATTCCATTAGAAATATCAACGAAAACAACAATCAACTAAAAATATCGACGGATAACGGAGTTACGTTCAAAACCATAAGCTTACTACCGGGAAGCTACGAATACGTAGCCATTAACGATTACCTATCCGAATACGCAGGAAGTGTGAGCGGTAAAAACAATATCGAATTCGAAGGTAATTTGAATCTGAACAAAATAAAACTGATCTTGGGAAATAACAGTCATGTCGATTTCAACGTAGAAAATTCGTTGAATGCGTTACTAGGATTCGAAAAACGAATATACGCGCAATCAACATTGGCGCCGCACAAGGCCAACATCGAGAACGACATCGACGTGATCAACATTCACTGTAATTTGATCAACGGTGGATTTTTCAACAAGCACAAACGCCAAATCATATATCATATATCATATATGCCGATCTGATACAGAATTATAGAGAAACCGTTTCAAACGACCTATTTACCAGTCAATTCTTTCATGATCAAAGATATAAATCTGGAAACAGGTTCATAGACTTTGGCAACGAAGAAATTGTCATTCAACTTCATTTAAAACAATCTTCATTCTCTTCTTGAACAGTAAGATAATCGAAATCATCAAATTCATAGTTTTCATCAAAACTATACTCATCTTTGTCGTTGTAAGGATACATAATTCCTTCACTGTTTGGTGGTTTTCTTTTAACATTATTCAAATAACTTCTAAAAACTTTAGTTTGTTTATCATTTGGAATAACTACTCCATTGGTGAAACTTTTTTCCCATGGTTTATTAAATTCGTTCGACACGTCATGTCCGCTTGCTAACTGAACGTAATCTTCTACACTTATCTTATCATTAGAATAACCTTTAAACGTTTTCTTTTCTTTTAAAACACCATCGGAAGTTAGAATGATATTGTATTTGACTTTTGGTGCTAAATATAAACCAAATATAATTCCACCGTCACCGTAATCGTTTTTACCTTTGCAATAGTCTTTTTCGGAGACCAAACCAGCTCTGTTTAGTTTTTTCCAATTGTTGGATGAAATGTACAAATTATCGGTGTCGGTATAGTATATTTCGGGTTTATAAAATCCATTTATGATGTGAATGAAATTGTTCATTATTTTTCTACTGTGAGATAAAACGAACGATCCCAAAATGACTAGGTGTTAGTCGTGTAGATTTACTATCTTCGGTAGTAATCTATTTTTCTTCAATTTCTGTTTCAACAATATATTGAGTATCATTAATTTTCTCATAGGTTTTAACATGTGAATCAAAGTTAGCCTGTAAAGTTGCTTCATTCCATAAATGTCTAGTTGTGAACATATTTTTTTGAATTGATTTACCATACAAGGAATTACCTAAAAATTTCATGCAATTACTACCCACGATATTACCTTATCGTTTACATTTATTTCTTAGATCTCTCAAAATTAAAATATAATCTCTATAGGGTGGAGTTTTAAAATTTTCTTCGTATACTATACCATCTAATATTCTAATAATTCTTCCACCGGCTTTCACTATTTCTTGAATATCAACCGATGTTAAAACGTCGTGACAGAAACCATTTCTGAACCTGATTTTGTTACCAGTTTCCTTTTTACCTTCTTTATTCGTGAAAGTGATTTTATCTTTAACTGGTATCGGTTGGAAAAACTTGTTTTTGGGATACTCAAACCACACTGTTAAAATAGCTGTTCTAGGTCTTCCACTTTCTGCTCTCGGATATTCACTGTCTAAATCCGACATTGCTGAAGCGTATAAATCGTTAGCATCAGATGCCATTAGTTTATTGCAGTTTATTTTTTTAAGTCTCGATTGAACCTCCGTTTTATCTTTTGTGCTTGCGCTGTATTCTTTGAATAAATCAATTACGTTATGTGAAATACTTTCTGTATCACTTTGTGAAAGAAACTCCTTTAATACATTACAAATTTCGTCCATTTTGTTCAAATGATTTTCTATTTTCCGAAACTCTTCCTCCTTTAATAGATCGTCTGATAAAATTTCTTATAAAAGGATTAGTGTGCGAATAAACTTTTTCTATATTTTCTTTATCAGTATGTTTCGCAACTATTCTAGTAGTTTCATACCATTCTTCTTCAACCATTTCTTTATCGTAATGATATAAATAATACCAACCCTTTAAGGATAAAGATGGAGCTGTTAGATTATCTGATATATTCTGGCTTACAACTTCTTTCACGACTTGGTTATATTTTATCAAACAAGCTCCAAGACATAGGGTATCCCTTTTTGCATATGGTTCCCATTCGTGTCTCAATTCCTCCCAATTGTCTTGCGTGTATTTAGCGATATCCACGTCGGCAATTTTTCTCAAATTCGCGGGAAGATTGGACGAATTTCCCCATGCAGCCAAACTAGATTTTTCATGTTGATAGGAAAATGTGAAATTAATATGTTGTAAATAATTACCCTTTATTTCTTTCTGTCTTTTCCATTTTTTCTGTACATCTTCATCTGTGTATGGATTAGATAAAGGTAAAGATAGAATTCCTCTTGGTGTTTTTAAAGGACAATGCGTTAGTATTTTTTTGTATTTTTAAGCACGATCCAGTTGTCGAATCCACTGCCGTTATTAATAAATTAATATAAATCTCTTTCTTTCATATTGACCTTGATATTTCAACATTTGATCTATACAATCTGTACCTACAAATATTTCTACTACATCATCAGTAGGAAATATATTTTTTTCTAACTTTTTTCTTAGTTTTTCTAAATTAATTAAAGTGCGGGCATAAGGAATTGCTCTTCGAGTGTCTTTTTCTGAATAAGTTTCGCAATCCCAAGCGAATAACGCGTCAACACTCATACTTGAAAGCACGTTTAGTTTGAGAGGTGAAACCTGTGTTACTGCGTTATCATCTCTACACGTTTTCCACACCTGTTCGTAATTGTCTTCTATTTCTTGAATTCCCAAACTTTTTTGGCTTCTTCTAATCAGACAGAAATGCGAGTTGTGTAAGTAAATAACCCAATCTAATTCATCATGTACGGTTAAAATGTCTGTTTTGGGATTATAAATTTGAAACGAAGTGTTAAATTTCTTGTTGAATTCCTTCATTCTAGCACAAGTCATCACTCCTTTTCTATTTGCTTTTGAAAACACGTTAATGTATTCTTGAAATTTACACGTTAAATCTTTGTTCAAAACACGATTTACGCATTTGATAAAACAGTGACCATAGGTATGTAACAATTTTTACCTTTGTATTCGTTTATCTTTTTAAGTAGATCAGTTCCTCCTCTGCCAACTCTCGATCTTTTGATTTCTTGGAAATTGTCTTTCATTAAAATTATTTTTCCTGTAAAATACCAATCGAGAGCATCAGATTTTTTGTCCATATTTGAAAAGAAATTGTGAAAAGTTTTGGCATTGAAACCGAGGAATGACATGTTTTGTCTGTGATTCCCTTCCTCGACTATCTCTCCATCTATTTTAATTTGTCCTTTCAATGTTTTAAATTTATTGGAAACAGCCTTGATAACATCGAAAAATAGGACGTTTTCTATCAATGTTTCATCGTGTTCGATTTTATTCATATTTTTTTAAGTATATATTTTTGATTATTTCTTTATTTTGACTGCTTATATTTCTGTATGGAATTTGTCCAAAATTTCATTGAATTCTTCTAATTCTTCAACTGTTATGTTCTTGTCTTCTCTCGATCTTTCGAAAAAGATGTACAATTGATTAAGATACATATTCAAGATATCCGTTTTTTTTTTAAATGAGCTTTCTTTTTGCTTGTGAAACCTAAAGTGATGAGGCCGCAAGAGGTCGTTTGAACGGCTGTTAATGCACCGAATACGGTCGGGACGATGACCGGAAGCATTAATCCACCAGTCACGGCCGTTGCAACCGTTACTCCTACCGTTAGAACTGTGCTCGCTGTTTTGAAAACAGAATCGATTCTACTCCATGTTTTCCTGCATGTATTGCATTGTCTTAACTTTATTTTCAACTCTTCTTGTTTGTCTATCATGTATTGTTGTCTGCTTTCGACTTAAATTAAGTGAATTATAGAATAAATAGAACCACGGAATATCATATAGAATCCCTATTCCATTCCTAACATTATTATATTTGCGGGTATTAAAAGTAAAAACATTTACGCGTACTAACGAAATTTCTTTTTTCGTATGGTCCTCGTTAAGATGATAGGAATATTTTATTTTTTCTTTTTCGATGTTTATCTTGGCTCTACAAATAAAACCACCACTATTAAGGATGGAGTCGAAATCTTCGGCAAACGTTAAATGTACTATAAACTGTCGTTCTTGTTGACTTTTATGAACATCGATCGAGGTGTATTTTCCACCACCAAAATCGAAATACAGTTTTACGTATTCAAAGTCTGTTGTTCGTAAAAACTCGTGACTGCTCGATTCTATTGGTCCGGGTATGTGTGCGGGTTTTATAAGTGATGGTGGAATTTTGACAATGTTGGTTGATGGTGGATTTTCCGTCTCCAATATCATATCTAAATCTTTGATTCCAATGATATCCTTATCATTTTCTACTTCCATTTTAAAGGTGTCTACATATTTACCATTTTTCGTTTCAATTTCATATAAATCATCCCTTTTATCAATCAAACATATAGTCTCTTCCAAATAACCATCATTGAAAAATGAAAGATGTTTGACGGCATTACCGGTTTGTTTGAAGACTATTTTATTGACTTTAACCTTCATGGGAAAATCTATTTCAATCAGGCATCTACCTCGAAAAGTAAACGCTTCCGTTTCGCCGATATCGAATACGTTTTTAGGTTTTCCATCTACGTGAGAAGTTACTTTTATTTCTACTTTGAATCCATATTTGTTTGATTTAAAAATTACTTGATCATCTTGGTTTTCTCTATCGAAGGGAGTGTCACTTTAGAATGGAAGATTGAAATAATATGACGTATCCGTGACAATAGCTTCTAATTTGATCAACTTTCTCTCTTGTCTCAAAAAATCGTCATGAATTCTAGATACCAAAATATTGACCTGTTATTTAATATATTTTTTAATATCATCTTGAAATTTATTTTGAATTTAATTTTCTAATTCGTCCGTGATTTTAGTATCCAAAGCAGTCAATTGTCGTTTCAAAGTATCTTTGTCAATGGGATGTGTGAGATTGTTAATTATATTTTGAACATCTGATTTTTGCTTCGCAATCTTTTCGTTCAATTTGGATATTGAATTTTGTAACTAAGTTTTGTCCACGGAATCAATCTTGTCTAGTTCTGCTAGCAATCCGCTGCTTTCGCCAAGTTTTCTTTCCAAAGCGTTTAGTTTTCGCTTCAATCTATCCTCGTTTACATTTGGGTTATCTATTAAACGTTGGACGTCTATTTTTACCTTCGTAATCTCTTCGTCTAATTTAGATATTAAATTTTGCAACTGGTTTGTTTTATTCACTTGAATAAGACCTTTCAAACTCGTTAACTCTTGTTGTAGTTTGGGTTCGTCCACATAATTTTTAATATTTCGTCTGAAGTATCTTTTCACGTCAGTTATTCTCTTTTCAACATGGTCCTTATCTATTTGAATTGCGTTCATTTGATCCAGTAAATATTTCTTGTTCACGGCATCGTTATCGTTTCCTGGAAACTTTGAATTAGTTATTTTGAAATTGTTCATATCGATATCCCCTTGTAAGGTGTCTCCAATTTGATCCACGAAAAAAGGTTTCGCTTTGTTCATAAACGCCGTCATGGGATTTTTAGATTCTAGAGGTAAAGACCCTAATCCAAACTTGTTTGCCATTTTTTTATTGAGTTAAATTTGTTATAATTTCTTCAAACTTTTCTCCCAAACTCAACCGATATAAAACCCAAAGCGACAGCTGTCCACACATTTGATTGGTTTGCTAGTCAATTTCGTTATCTCTTCTGTCGGTTCTAGACCGAAAGAATCAAAGAAATAAAAGTTATTCAAAGAATCTTTGTGTAGAGCAGAGTGATGAACTCCTTTTTGATCCGACGTATGAATGTTTGTGATGGCGTAAATTTACCTTTTCTTGTATTTCAGTTCATCAATTTCATCTCGCATGCAATAATAAAACGGCGAGACGTTCAACTCCTTTGCCCATTTCACAAGTTGAAAGTTTGTGGTCGTGTCTTTTTCGTATTTATCGAGAAATGCATCCTTTTTTAAAAGTCAGTTTTTTTTAAGTTGATAAAACCTTTCTGAAATAATGATTTTTGTATTAAAGTTAAATTCCGAGATATCAAAAATATTTTGAGGTGTTATGTTTTTCGAATTCTTTCGGAGTATGCGGTAAGTATTGTTGAAGACCCAATTGACGAAATATATACGTAGTTTGTGTTTGAAAAAACTTGTATAATATTCTGATAAAACACATTCAATAATATTTTGAAGATATATTTACATTTAAATTTAAAAACTTTTAATTTAAGAAAGCGTAAATGCTTGTCGACATCTAAATTTCTTAACCTTTCATCTAAATCTTCATTTTCGAGATTTATTTTTAAAAGTCAGTTTTTTGAAGTTCATTTTGATAAAACCTTCCTATGATTTGTCCTTTGTCTTGATCGACCAATTCATACGTGGGAGGTGATGTGCTATTTATTTTATCAACAATGAATATCTCGTTAGTCCAATACCCGACGTAACCTTTCTGAAACAATGATTATATTTAAAAATACGAACTCGATCTCCAACTTTGAATTTGGGTTTAATATTCAAATTGCTAACTCGTTTTCAAAGTTGTTTCGAGTGTTGACGGACTTTATGGTATTACGGTTATTCGAGGCATGCGTTGGCGTCACACCTATAGACGAATGTATTTTGTTATTGTATTCGTCGACAACAACTGGTAATATTTTAAGCCATTTTTGAGATTTCAATTCCGTGAATTTCTTGAATAATTTGCTTTTCAGAGTCCTGTTGAATCTTTCTATCACTACAGCTTTACCTTCGTTATGTGTGCTGTAAATTTCAAACCCCAGAGATTTCACATTTTTGTTGTAGAATTCGCTTCCTTTATCAACCCACAACTTTAGGGGTCGTCTGTCTGATTGTTTCATTATGGTTTCGAATGCTTGTTTGACAGTCAGACCCGATTTGTTTTTCAAGGGAAAGACCGAAGCGTATCTCGTGTATATGTCGATCACCGTCAAACAATACTTGTACCCTCTCTCGACTGGCATGTTGATTAAATCGGCTGAACAAATTTCATCTTTATCAAAAACTTTGACTTTGAGGTAATGTTTGTTTTTTCGAAATTCTTTGTGAATCTCGTCTGCTATGCCCATAACCAATTTCAATTTTGCCTTCAAAAGTTTTATTATAAGAGCCCTTTGTAATTTCTCTTTGAAAGTGGGATTGGGAATATTTTCAAGTTCGTCTATCATTTGTTTGTCTGCTTGGTGTCTGAATGTTATGTCTTTGTTTCTGTACAGTATGTCGTGTTTGAGCGCTGCTGCGTCAACTATATTAACGGGTTCTTCCCCTGGTTTGGGATTATCATTTTCGTCTAAACGCAGATCTAATCTCGTGCCTGGACCTGTATGATTGTGCCCTGGGAGATGTTTTTCTCAGGGATATTTTGCCCATGGGAATCCAGGAAGAGAACCCAATGACTTTTGAATGTCTCCCGCACCGAAATACGTTTTAGGAGGATGGATATTTATTAAAGACATATTTGTTCAATAATGAAATATACACCATATATTTTTAATACGAAAGATCTAATACAAGGAGAAAACTATTCAAGCGATAGAAAAGAATCACTTTATGAATTTTTTCTTAAAGATAAATATTTGGAAAGGTTGTTTTCGGATTATTGTAGAAGTTTCGAGAAAAAAAAGAGACTAATAAAAACTGTCTACAACCTGGTTGATAAAGAAAACAAGGAAGACATTTTGATATGTATAAAGGGCGTTTTAATATGCTCTGTATTTTTCATTAATTTTTCCATCTAATGAAGGGATAATAGGAAACTGATTGAGTTATTTTAACAGTTCAAGATGTCGGACAAAAGGAATCTATCTTCAAATTTGTGTTTCTGAGATGAATTACCAGTGAATTTCTATGTTGACCTATATAGTCATCAATTACGTATTTACTTCCTTGTGTGATAATGTAGTCTCTCTCTATATATACCATCTCCAAAATCACTACAGATTCATTATTTTAAACAGTTCAAGATGTCGGACAAAAGGAATCTATCTTCAAATTTGTGTTTTTGAGATGAATTACTAGTGTATTCTATGTTGACCTATATAGTCAACAATTGCGTATTTACTTCCTTGTGTGATACTCACTACACACCCTTTGTTCATTCTCTGAGACTTTCGAATATACTTTTCGCTCTGAGAATTGACCTTATAGGGGGATATTGAAGGTATTGACAAAACAATAACAGAGTAGCCCTTCTGTTTATTCTACTACCACTACAGAATCATTTATCATAATATGAAATTAAAGGTATTGACAACAGTTATCATTCTGTTTATTCTACAGAATGTTTGATTACTTTTCGATACTATGATAAAATTGATATACACCATCAAGTAACGCGACAGTTAACCAATGACGGGTAATATTCTCCAGAAGGGAGGAAAACCTAAGACAGGTGCTGTCGGGCTTGAATTGGGTGGAGTTGATAAACAACGTCATCAAGTAACGCGACAGTTAACCAATGACGGGTAAGATTCTCCAGAAGGGAGGACAACCTAAGACAGGTGCTGTCGGGCTTGATTGTACAATTACTACCAAAAGGGCATTAAGTTCAATACCTAATTGGAGGTGATCACAAGTAAGAAAAATATGGTTTTGTTGACTTTATAGGTTTAATATGGACTCTCAGTCAATCATCTTATAAACATTAAATTTGGAGAGAGATTTCCAATGTTTGATCATTTAAAACTGTTGAAATTTGTTGTTTGAGACAAAGTTGGCCACTTTGGGGATGAGAGATGTTAGCGCAGAGAAGAAACCGTCTCCTTCGAATTTTTTTTGTTCGTGTTTTAAAATTAAAGACTTTTTTTTTAACGCGGTTATTTTATACTGTATTATTATAGTGATTCTTGTCTGTGGTTGGGTAATTTATATGGAGCCTGTTATAATACATTTTTAACAGTTTGGGGGAGTCTGTTATAATACATTTTAACAGTTGTGTCTTTTCGGATATGACGCATTGAAAAAGCTGCGCATGCGCAGAAGTGAAATGCGTCATATCCGAAAAGATATATACTACTATTAATTCCCTTCAGTATCAGGGTTTTAGGTGGTAAAATAATGACATTTACACGTACAAACAATATATTCTTCTTTTGAATCATTAATCTTGTTAAGATGAACTGAACATTTTGGTTTTTCGATATTGATGGTTATCTTACAATTTCAAATATATACCTTTGATGTAGCTTCATCCTCGATTATCAAAAAATGTATTATAAACCCTTTATTTTGTTGACTTTTATGAACATCAACTGAGGAGTAGTAACATTGATGATAAAGAAAATATAGTTTTACATATTCAAAGTCTGTTGCTCGTAAAAACTTATAACTCATTGTTTCATCTTCTTTTTGTGGTTCTAGTTTTCTAATAATATTCATTGATGGTGGAGTTTCTGTCTCCAATATATAATACAAAAAATAATTTCAATTAGAGCTTTACCTTTATTTAATTTAATCTAATAAAGTTCTGTTCTATAATTATTGAGGCGTTATTTTTTAATGTTGTATTATTAGTTGGTTTATATTGTGGTAATTTAAACTAATAAAGTTCTGTATTATAATTATTGAGGTGTTATGTTAATGTTGTGTTATTTTAATGTTGTATCATTAGTTGGTTTATACTATGGTAATTTAAACTAATAAAGTTCTGTTCTATAATTATTGAGGTGTTAAGTTGATGTTGTATTATTTTAATGTTGTATCATTAGTTGGTTTATATTATGGTAATTTAAACTAATAAAGTTCTGTTCTATAATTATTGAGGTGTTATATTGATGTTGTGTTATTTTAATGTTGTATCATTAGTTGGTTTATATTATGGTAATTTAAACTAATAAAGTTCTGTTCTATAATTATTGAGGTGTTAAGTTGATGTTGTGTTATTTTAATGTTGTATTATTAGTTGGTTTATATTATGGTAATTTAAACTAATAAAGTTCTGTATTATAATTATTGAGGTGTTAAGTTGATGTTGTGCTATTTTAATGTTATATTATTAGTTGGTTTATATTATGGTAATTTAAACTAATAAAGTTCTGTTCTATAATTATTGAGGTGTTAAGTTGATGTTGTGTTATTTTAATGTTGTATTATTAGTTGGTTTATATTATGGTAATTTAAACTAATAAAGTTCTGTTCTATAATTATTGAGGTGTTATGTTGATGTTGTGTTATTTTAATGTTGTATTATTAGTTGGTTTATATTATGGTAATTTAAACTAATAAAGTTCTGTTCTATAATTATTGAGGTTTTTATGTTGATGTTGTGTTATTTTAATGTTGTATCATTAGTTGGTTTATATTATGGTAATTTAAACTAATAAAGTTCTGTTCTATAATTATTGAGGTGTTATGTTGATGTTGTGTTATTTTAATGTTGTATTATTAGTTGGTTTATATTATGGTAACTTAAACTAATAAAGTTCTGTACTATAATAATTTAGAAGTAATACTGCTGATAATGTAAACTAATAAATCACGATTCCGACAGCCTTGTCAGTGACGTAGGTCACAGGGCCCTAATCCCTTGGTTCCCAACATGGGGTACGGTATACGCCATAGGAGGTACCTGATAGGCCTTATAGACGACCCCAGTAGTAGGGCTCTATTATAGAGTTTTACGTAATCCTTTACCTCCCCAATTTTCGGCTAATTGTGTGATATCTTAAAGGGAGGACGTATATCTAAGAAAAGATATCAGTGCACATCTCTATCCGAATAAATCGATTATGACAGTAAGATGGAATGAACAACAAAGGTGCATGCAGAAAGTTTAATAGAATTAATAAAAGTATCGGTTCAACAGTTCCAAATCTTCTACCCAGACTTTAACCACCCTTTAATTCTATCCAAGGTTCCAAATCCAATACCGGATAACTCACATTGTCAGAACATGTTGCTAACACATTACCGTTACTGTAATTAAAAACATACATTTTTTAAGTGTTTAATTAACCCAAACCTCGAACGATCCGAACTTATCTTTAAGTGCAGACTCGAGAACGAAAACTCCTTTTCAACCTTTTATTAGTTACTAGGGGTTGAAAGTAAAAATATTTTGTAATTGTTTTAAATAAATAATCAAATTCGGATGACTTACGTTTCGTGAAGAAACGCCTGGAAGGGAATACTGGCAATGTTGGTGGTATCACAAATAACTCGAGAGAACGTCAGATTACGGATTGCATTCATCTGCCCTAAAAGATGAATGAAGAAATTAATTATAATATATTTCGCTTATCAAGACTAGTCTCCAAATGCTTTACATTATAGACGAACAGGATGCAATATTTGGATGTGAAAAAATATTCAGATGTATCTAATTTATGTGAAAAAATATACAAAGTCACAATTTAAAACTGTATCCAACAGACGCCTTGAATATTGATTGTCATTTTAATCCCGAATACGGAATCGACATTTTATTTGTGTTGGAAAAGATCAAAAATTGAATACAGATAACTTATGACGAGAATACTAAAATACGATATTTCTAATTCAACATTTTTACCCCGATGATATTTGACATTGTAACACCTCGCTATACACGTAAAAAATAAAATAGGTGAATTTCTTATCAGTCTGTAGGCAGTGACTCAACTACCATCAAAGCCAATGGTAGTTTAGCGACAGTCTCTCGGAAAGTCACGTTGTAAGATTCATCAATCCTTTACAGAATTAAATTAAGTTAATTAAATTTTACAGAATTTAATCGTTTTTAGAAATTTAAAATTGAATAATAAAAAAGGCAATACCTTGAGAGAATCCAGAAGGGTTTGCGGGTTGTGCGTTTTCAAACCAGAATCGATCTCCGAATTTCAGAGTCTTGAATTGTTGACCAATAATACAAGCAAATGTTGGTCCAACAAAACCATCGGTTACTGGATCTTCTGAAAGTCCGCCGATATACAGATCAACATCGTCAACATACCTGTAATATTATAAACATCAATTAACATTGCGTTTTACATCCCTTTTTAATGTTATCTCCTCGTTGGTTTTCGACATGTAAACTTTTTTCACTATTATCACGACTAAACCCTATTCACTTAAATTAACTTCAAATTTAGTTCAATTAAACAATTTTATTTAAACATTCCCTAACATCTGGGTTTTATTTTGTCGAGAATAAAGCCCCTGATTTGATAGTCACTTACCAGTAAACCATTTGCAATCTATTAAACTGAGCTGTTCCGTCATTAAACGAGTTAAGTCTAGGAAGTCCACAAGCTTCACGGAATGTGTTATACGATGGTAGCCCGAAGTCTCGGCCTCTCTGTATGTTAATTGCTGCAAGAGTGTTTCCAGCAAATGCGTCGGTATTAAACAAATCAACTTGAAAAGCTCCATTAAATTCTAGATCTACTTCTTGACTAGAATCTATGAGCATTCCCTTAATCGTATCCTCGTAACCTTCTCCTAGAAAAAAATAATTCATAACATAATTTCGTACATACCACAAAACTGTGTAAATTTAAAATTACTACATGACAAATTCAAAGAGGTAGAATTCGCAAAGGCCATGATTCTCAATTTTCAGGGTTGATTTGAGTCTAGAATATATAGTCTTAAGAAGTACTAGAACTATATGAGCCAAGAATCGAGGCAGATGTTTCGAACTAAGGTTAATCATTACATTGAATTGAATTGTGATTCTGGTTTCAAAAGTTTTCAGGAATGAATCGGTTTGTATGACCATGACCAACTAAAATTTTTGACTTACCATTTCCAGTTTGAATATAAAATGGCCTCTGAAACAGGTCAGCGAGGGGAAGTCGACTATTACCATTTGTCCACTTATTAGGTACGGAAGAATGACCAAATCTAAACGCTGCTGCACTAAAACTACTGAAGATACCGGGTGATATATTAGAATTGTAGGAATACGGTTCTGTTAGTCTACAAAATATATAAGTCCAATATAATAAATTCACACAAATACTCTTCGGGATCGTCGCATCTGGTTTCTTAAACAGGATGCAATCACGTTCAAGTAAAACTATTAATTCAATAAGAGACCGGTCTAAAAAAAATCAAAGCGTTTTTAACCATGTCGAGGAGGAGGTAGCACAACCGAAAATAGAGCCATGCGACAGCCCTCTTTCAGTCGTTATCCCACAATTCGTTATGGTTAACAAGAAACAGGTGATACATGACTGCCTCATACCGTTATAAGAACGTGACTTGGGTAAAAAATAAATGATTAGATTAAAACGGGGACAAAATATAACAGAAAAAAAGAATCTACTGTGTAATCTATTTTTACAAGGTTGGGTATTGAGAGAATTGGACCCGAAATGATGGTTTATCTTGCGATGGAAGAGATCTAACAAATACTGACCCATATTTACTCATAGCAGCTGGTCCTATCAATAATGGTAGATATTCCTGATAAGTTATCTTTTGTATTATAGCGACAATGATTCTTCTTGTTTCTTGAAATAGAATTTCATCATCCCATGAAGGGTTGATTGTGGATAGTTGTGATGCAATTAGGTTGTGATAACGCACAAACACTGTGTGAAGAGCGGTCAAACCAGATACTACATTGACTCGTTTATCGCCTGCAAAATTAAAATGAGATAGTGATGATAGGCTTGACCGACAACCATTAATATCAATTTCCACAATGTTTTTCGTGTATTTTTTGATTGGATTCTACCTCGGTAATAAATAAAACAAATTATTTTGTCAATTACATTACCCCCCTTCCTCTTATAAATCTTTACTTTTACCCCTCTCCTATCTATAGATCCTTCAAGCCTTAAGCGAAAGAACTTTATAACTGTTTGCTGATTTTGTCACTAGTTACTTCCCTTATACAAATCTTCTCTATAGAGGTTTTTAGTAGTGTATAGAGTTTTAAACGAAACGAAAAACTTGTATTCGGGGCTGCGAGGGGTTATTTGATTTATTCCTTGATCTACTTACCAGCATCAAAACAGAAATCATTGTCTGTAAACAGGATACAATTTGATTTATCATCAGGATTACTTCTAGCAGGTAAGAGTTCGTGTGCGCTTCTCGTCAACTTCCCTGCAACATTCGATGGAAAGTTTATAAAATAGGTTTCTAAAAAGTTGTGTAATGGTTTTGGTGTAAGGAGCTGATTTTAAATTTCCCACAACAAGTTTCCTTATTATTTTGCAAGTAGGCCTATACTCAGTGATTCAATCGTCAACCTCGTTGACCTGTCACTTGACGCCATTCCCACTCCTGTTATCGGCATTTTGCTTGTTTTTAGCTTGCGTTAAGTGGAGCCAAATCGTGACTGACCTCCTACAAACGATCTTAGAGAATGACTTTCATCTTCGGTTGATCCATATACCCCCGATCCATCCACAAAAGCTGTTATAAAATTAGTCGGCTCTTTTACATCTGAAATATTTTGAAAAGAGGGTAGTGAAGTATTCGAAATGAAATGAAATGTATTCAGGTGCATCAGCACCAAAATGGGCCATATATCATCTTGAAAACTAATTAACACACGCGAAAAACAAATGAATTTGTATGAAAAAAAAAGTTTAAATGCTAAAAGTAGTTTGTCTGCGGTCGATAATACATCCAAGCTGCAACCGAATATAATATGAAATGAATGGAGTTTAGTCATACTTTCCTTCATCCTATGAGCTAAGGCAGACGCCATCTGAGATCAACAAACATTAAACTGTCTTTCGAACATGCATTTGACTTTAGGATATTTCTCTCATTACTTATCAAAGTTTCAATTTTAGGCTTATTATCATTACGTACGTGATTTACAGTCTATCTCGCCAACCGCTCTGACAAAGTTTCCACATCCATCGTCGCCTACTGGATTGGGCCATTTAATAGGATAGCAGGGTTCACTAAAAATACAACATTTTGCATGATTATTCTATACCAAACCGTTTTATAGACAATACATGTTTTTTTTCTATCAAAATACACGTTTTTTTTTTTATCAAAATACATGATTTTTCTATCAAAATACACGTTTTTTTTCTATCAAAATACATGTTTTTTTTTCTATTAAAATACCTGTTTTTCTATATCAAAATAATTGTTTTTCGCCAATATTCGGTGCTATAATTTTTAAAGTGCTTAGAAGCGTGTTTCAATAATTATTTAGTTTAATAGATATATCGTCTAATGTAAAGAATCTATTCTTTAGTCTAGTGAATATACACTTGTTTACCAGGTTTGAGACATAAATTTTATGTCCATTCTAGGAGGTGGTATCCTCTTAAGAAGCGTTCTAATGAAAAGCGTATCGAAATCAGTTTTAATAACTCTTCACGAAAATAACCGTTATCAGATGCTGAACAGAATGTTTTATAGCGACATGGTGTAAATGGGCTTATGTTAAACTCAGCTTTCTGAAAACTAACAACAATAAGACAAATATAGAATAATTAAAAGCAATACGTTACCCTCTTAAACCCAAGGTTTCATCGATACCCGTATCTTTACAACATTTATAGTTCCCACCACTGGCTAGAAAAAATAATTTGAAGTATTTTTATCAATGGCAAGAATGTGAGTCTGGAAGACAGAGAGAATAAAAATGATCTTATAAACCACGACACTGTATTAATTAAACTACTAAATACTAAATCAAACCATTGTGTGTGTGATCTTAACCAATCAAAACGACAACATTTATTCGAAGTAGATGTTCGAATTGAAACTATTCACGATATGAGCTTCTTGGTTTGTTAATGACGTAACATCTGATTATGAATATTGATATGAAATAAACTGGCCACAGTGAACCTCGGTAGAAAAATGCAAAATTTTCAATGTATTGGAATTTCACATTAATTACATAATTCGTAATGCATGTACACAGAATGTCGGAGTACTTAGAATTTTTAAATTAGCCTAAGAAGGAAATCAATCAAGAACAGAAAAAGATGTCGGATTTAGCAGAATGTCGGAATACTCAGATACCGGATATCACAGACTACACTGTTCTTCAAAATGATTTGCGAGTTCAGTTCAGTTCACAGTGTTTGTACTAGAGGAATAACTCTAATAACTTTTATCTATATAAAATATATTCTCTAAAATAACTGCTATTCAGAATAATAAAAGAGTTCTCTTCGTATCATTTTACAATAGAACGTAATGGTAACTTACGTGTTTTCATTGTTTTTGTTAGGACGATGTCATTGGCTAGAAACTGGCCAAACACCTGGTGTAAATTGGCAAGTGGTGTAAGTACAGGTTCACTTACGTTAGTAATGACCGTTTGAGATATTTCCCCGGCTCTAGGAAGCATGTATCCATCAATACCGTTAAACCGTGGCAAATGCTTTCCTGTAATGAAATAGACAAGTCATATAAGATACGTCAAGCAGAAATGAGGCAATCTGATTTCAGTTCTTAATATTTCGTTTTGTGTTATAACTTCAATTATATACATATAGTAATATAGAAATCTTTTATCAAACAGAGCATTTCATTGGATGAATATCAGATGGTCTAGAACAGGAGATGAAATGTTACAGATCATGGGTGGCAAGTGGTGTAAAACCGAAGAGCAAAAACATTATCTTCATATTTGCATTTGTTTTGTAAGAATGACAAGGTAATCGCATCGAATGGGATATACTTCGAAAAAACTTCATAAAATACATACCATTTGCAAAAGCAACAATTATTGACAATATAATTTTTGTAAGAAAAATAAATGTATAGATTAAACGGGCGAAATTTATTTACCTAACAAAAACGCGTTTGGTGTGTTCATGTCATTCCTATATTTATTAAATAACATTAATTATCTACATTTATTAATGTCCCGAAGACTAAGCAACTACCAGCAATGAAATATAATTGTGATCAAATTAGATGAAGAGTGAAGTAACTCTAGTCAAATTTCATACAATTATGGTAGCAATAAAGTTAAACCTGTTCTGGGTGAGCTCTTGATACTTTGGATCCTTTCGTTTGATCCATTACCTCGACGAACACAATTTTGAATTATATGTTTGCAATATGATTTTGATACGTGATCAAGTGATTGTAGGTTCAATACGTACCGTCCTCATATGCGTTAGGTACCAGTCTTAGAAGAGTATCTTTAAAGGATCCGTCTCGTGGTTTCTGTAGATTGTTACATGTTCCGTCAATGGTTCTATATCGCATTGCTGCATTACATGATCTGAAAGTCATTTTAAACTCGGCCAATAAGAGCATAATATTGATCAGTAGATATACTTGGTGTCATAAATAACATAACAGAATCCTTATATAATCCGAAAAAAATTTTTTCATAAAGGTCGTCATTTATTTGTTTGGTGTTTGAAAATTGATTTACAGATTTTAACAAAATAACAACAAAATTGTAAAGAGATGTTTCTCTTACTAATTCAAAAGGTTTCAACAGAGAACACACGCCTTTATAAAACCCAGCACAAAAACAAACTTCAACGGCTTAGTTAAAAAAAAGTACATTTAGAAACAAATTAATGTTGATCAAGTTGATACTCATATACTGTCTTTATAACTTTGAACTTAAAACATTAGACTGACAATGGCATATGGCATAAAACCGTAATTAATCATACCTTCAGTTAATATGAAGTTAGTAGTCAATATAATACTTACATAGGTTCTGCAAAAAAAATATTATTTAGTATTAGTTATATTTATACCCCAAATTATTGGCAGTTTTCACTTCTGCGATGCTGGAATTTATTCCATTAAAATTAAATATGATATGAAATCATGGAGATTGATTTGACTGAGAAGCTTCATTTGAATCTGAGTAGCTGGGTTGCACTTTACACTACCTTTTAGGATGACCAAAGAATATTATCATTAGGTAATAATATATAATTATATCTAATTCCCTTACTTAGTTGACAGCATGGTTGATACATCCATACGTTGTTTGTACATGTCATCTGCTGTACCATTTGGTACCCTGTTTTACATGTAATAGTCACATCTTGGCAATGTTCAGCATAGCTAACATCTGCGTTGCTGACCTCAGGATGGTTCTCACATTCTGAAAATTGTTATTTCCAGGCACCAAATAGAACCTTAAGCTTAATGGTAATAAATTGAAGAACAATCTCAAAATCACAGTGTCTACCAGAAAGATTACCGGCCTATTGATATGCAATAAAATTATCGAACTATAAAACAAAATCAACTTCAGGTAAGTGGTGTGCAGTTCTCAAACCCTCTTGTACAATGGTATTGGTATTGGTCTATCCTTTTCCCGTGCCTTGGACGTGATATGCGGATGGGATATCGGAACGTTTAGGGACAGACATAAAATGTAATTTTTTATCGCTAGTTTTTGAAAAATTTCAACATGACGAAGTCCGCATTAGTCCTCCAAGACATTACCGCATTTTCTACTATTTCTCTGTGTCCCACGCAATACCAGGAGTAGGCCTTGTAAGATGAAGGAAGAACGGACACGCGGACATTGCACGGTAACGTCTTAA